ACCCCCCCCCCCCCCCCCCCCCCCCACTCCCCGTTCCCCTCGGCAATATGATTCCGCTGACCCCCCCCCCCCCCCTCCTTTGCTCTGCTTATTTTCGTTCTGGTCTTTTCCCATCGACGTTTTCAACAAAAATCGGCGGTTTTCCGTTCACGGGCAACGTGGTGGTGCTTGCTTGCTGTCGTCGGTGGTATGAATAATACTACTGTGCGGGCAACAACGACGACCCCGGCTTGAACGACACCCACGAACCGCTGCAACAACACAACAATACAATAGCTTCTCACTCGAGACCCTTCGAAGCGATTAGGAAGCTCGCTCGACGATGCCCAGGAGGTCGAACGGCATCCCTTCTTCGCACCTCTCGACTGGGATCGCGTAATGCGGCGAGAGGTATGTACAGCTGGACGTTCTTGTTAATATTTTCTTTAACTACATCCCCGTAATCAAGGACAAATTATCTCATCATGGATTTCATATATATCCACGGATAAGAAAAAAGGGCTTTTCGGTAGTTGTGGTACCTGTTTGTTTTTTTTGTGTGTGTGTGTTTTTTTTGGGGGGGGGGGCGTAAGCTTGGTTTGATAGCGTCTGTGGAGTGATTTCCGCTAGCCGGTTCGCTGTTCGCGTTTGCCGCTCAAGTATGGCCGATCGCCCTGTAGTACTACTTGCCAAGGCCGCTGAAGTCGCGAGGCACGGTAAGGGTGTTCAAGTTGTCTCTCGCGCTACTCTGAAGATTGCTGGGTGCCCCGTATTAAATGCCAGCCAAATCCCTTGGCAACACGCGGCCTTCCTTGCAGATACTGGTACAGGTGCACGATGCTTCGTATCCCAGATCTCTTTGGACTTGGATTTCGCATCCTTGTGTTGCATGGCGTCAGGCGTCTACGCGTGAGAAATAGGGTGGTAAAGTGAATCGCGGGTGTAATTTTGTTGTTGTTTTTATCACGTTTTACCCACTGGTTTCTCCCCCACACCGGATACAGCACTCAGCAACACGCACCATCTCTCTCGTGCCTCTCGTTCTATTTTTTTTTTTTGCTTCTTCGCTCCCCGGTCAACTCCTTCGTGACCCCCACTTTCAGGTGGCCCCGCCATGGGAGCCGATGCTGGTGGGGTCTCTAGACTCGAGCCAATTCGATCGAGAGTTCACCTCGATGCCGATCTTCAGCCCTGACCAACGGGACCACAAGGTGGGAAACTTCCTCAATACCGTAGGTTGCATACGTAAGATATCACACCCCCTGTGGACCGATTTTCAAAGCACGATTACTCCACGACGAAGACGATGCCAAAGTATTGAAGTATTTTTTTTCGGAAAGCTTTCTCTCGACGACGCGATGGTTCCAACGCCCCCCGTCATTTTGGGCACCCTCACTGTTTTTCCTGCCGAGATAACAGGCTTCGAAAATAGCAGGTCCAGGGGGTGTGATGTCTTACATATGCAACCT